TAGCTCTGGCATCCACGTAGCCTGTTGGAATGTTAGAATATCGCTAGACACAGGAAGCCAGTTTATCACAATGCGTTCACTGTACGACTACAAGGTAGACATCTGTTGTCTGTCCGAAGTCTGACTACCTAACCGTGACACAAAACTAATCAACGTACCACATAGCAACGCAACCTACCGGTTATACCACAGCGGCCCAACTGATAACTCCATTCTGCACGGGGTAGCAATCGCCGTGAGCGGCCGGGCCAACAATGCCATGATCTCCTGGGAACCAATCTCTCCCAGGAGTTCCATAGCGCGCTTCAGAGGAAAGCCGTTTAACCTGACAGTCATCTCTGCATATGCTTCAACGTTGTATGCGGAAGAGCCCATCAAAGACGACTTCTACATCCAAGTTCAAGACGCAGTGAACCGCAGTCCGAGGCTCGACATCCTCGTTATCGCAGGGGACTGGAACGCACGCACTGGCCCATCAGACGAACATACTCGGCATGTTCTGGGAAAGTTCGTCCTTGGTTGACGTTGCGAAAATGGCCAACGCCTAGTCACATTTGCTGACCCTAACCGGCTGGTCGTGGCCAACACTCGTTTTCATCTCCCTAGGAAACACCTACTCACATGGTACTCAAACGATGGTCGATTGATTATATTTTGGTACGTGTTCGCTGGGCCTCTTCGGTAGAAGACTGCCGTTCCTATCGCGGCGCAGACACTGGAAACAGGAACGGTACAGACCATACCCTTGTACGCGCCCGCTTCAAGATGCGCCTGACTACTCGCCGGAAGACTCTTCTCCCGGGCAAATTCAACGTCGCGCTCTGGGAACGACCTGAGAGAAGGCAGGCGCTGCTGGACGCAACGGCTTCCAACATAGCCGAAACTTTCTTTAATGACTCAACTGTCGACGCACGGTTGTCTACAGTGAAAACGTCCATTGGAGAATCGGCGCTGGGGCAGGTGAGATTCTTCGCCACAAGAGAGACTGGATCTCTGAGCGTACACTGGGTTACCCACACTCGCCCGAACCAAGGGGGGTTTCGCCGCGGAAGACGCTTTATTGAACAAATCTTCACTCTCCGTAGAATTCTGGAACACCGCTACAATTTCCAACAGCCTACCACTGCATGTTTCATTGACTTCCGCGCTGCGTGTGACTCTGTCGATAGGGAATCCTTGTGGTGCATATTGCGGTCCGATCGGATGCCTGAGAAGTTCATTAGGCTTCTAAAGTCATACTACTCGGGAACCCGGGCACGCGTCCGTACCTATGGAGTAGAATCGGCTGAGTTTACCCTAAGTTCTGGAGTTAGGCAAGGTTGTCCCCTATCGCTGGTGTTATTCAATTACACCGTAGATTGGATAATGCGACAAGCACTCATCGACTACCCTGGAATGCAGCTTGGCCCAGGTACATGGATTGCGGACCTCGAGTTTGCGGATGTTGTCGTTGTACTTGGAGACAGCATGGAAAACCTCCGGCCTATTGTCAGTCGTATAAATCAGTTTGTCCAGTCTATTGGGCTAGAGATCAACTCGTCAGAAACGGAAACATTTTCGACCGAAACTTCTACCATGACACAACCCTTCTCGATTAACGGGGAGTCTGTCGGGTCAACCGAAATTTTCAAGTATCTTGGCTCTGCTATAAGACCAAACGGCCAGGCTAAGGATGAAATCCAACTCCGTGTAGGTGTAGCTAGAAGAGCCTTCATACAACTCCTCAAACCGTTGTGAAATCGATGCGAAATAAGCTTAAACACTAGGCTTCAGGTTTAATAAGCTTCCATTCGCCCTATCCTCACTTATGGTTGTGAAACCTAGCCGCTAAGAGTACAAGATACAAGAAAGCGCGAAGTCTTTAAACATTGGTGCTAACGCCGCATCTTGAAAGCAAACTGGAGAGATCGAATTTCCAGTGATGAGATTCGACGGCTCTGCTTGAACATTGACAAGCTTTTAAAAATGCTACAACGCCGGCGCCTTCAGTGGTTTCGCCATGTGCTCCGAAGGCCCGACAATCAACTCTCGCGACAGACTGTAGCCCCCCACCGTGCTGTGGATGGCGTTGCCTACTCGGTGGTCAACCGAAAACCTGGCGTAGCACGATCAAGGTGGATTTGAAATTACTGGGTCTTCAATCCGTACATGGAATTCGCAATCGGAATCAGAACTGGGTTTCTCACTGCACCAACCTTGCTACCGATCGTCATACATGGGCTGCCATCATTAGCGACATCCAGGAAGCCGACTTATCCTCCCGCAGGAGTTAGTCGCTCAAAAGTCAAAGTAAGTAAGTCACGAAATCGGGCTCTTCGTGAAGGGTCGAGTGTGTTGCAGCAGTTCAGCCGGTTTTGCTGTACTGCGCAGAAACTTGGCTATTACGCAAACAGAATAAATATAGACTGTCAGTATTCAAACGCCGCATTACACGAGTCTGGTGGGAGAAGCCAGGCAAGCAATGCTCAGGTCTTCACCAGAATTTTAGGTCATCACAGCCCATCACGACGAACTGCACCTTGACATGGTATGATGGCTTGTGCGCTTCTCTGACCCGACGAGCTACATAGAATGGCTTTTTCAAGCCGAAGATCTAATCATGCCTGGAAGGTTGAAGGGTAGAGGTCGGACGAAGTCCAGTCTCCCGGTCTTCCAGGTTTGGGGTTCGACTGGAATTTGCGCTTCAGTCGGTAAAAAAAGCGGTGAAAGAGTAATCAATCCAAGTAAATGGGCCCCCACTTCACTTCACCCGCTGCCTTGCGGTTAGGTTCTTGTTTAATTTAAAGGCTTTAGACGAGAACCTTAATCGTTCTCCTGCTTAGTGGCTGGACACCCTAGCAGTACCCTCCCATCCAACCCAAATGGGTGTGCCTTACAAGTTTGGCAGCGATCAGTAAAGCTCATTTCCCTGTATTTCGCTGTACGATGATGAGGGATGATGGTAATCACAGTCCCCTACTGGAGTAATTGGTAGACCCCTACAGGTTACGATGTTCGGGGCGTGTTACACATGCAGCCAAATATATTTCCATGGCTCGCATTGTTTTCCGAGACAGTTAGTGGGTCACAAAATATCAAGGGTGGTCAAACTACGTTCTGACACAAAAGTATGAAAAGCCCTAATTTATAGGCTCAGCCATCTAGGTCGCGTTGGCTCCCCTTATGGGAACATCGGGATCATCGTAACCGATGGTTAGGGATATAGGCATACGATTGAGTGTTGCAAACAGTGGCGCTCGTGCATCTTATCAATCTCTTTGCAACCTTAGTCCATATGAATTCTTTATTTTCCCCGTTGATAAAACTCTCAACATTCCAATCTACTCTCTCCTCTTAATGGACAGTCAAAGGATAAGACAAAATTGTCTCACGGATGTGCGCGGCTAATGGCTGTATAAACTGAAATCTCGTTCTCGAAAATGAACTATGAACCAGTAAACGTATGGGGAATATCGTCGTGCATAGAGTAAACGGAACGTAAAATTTGGGAGCCGCAAGCTATGTGCAGTTGTTTTGACCTTGGATCACGTCAGTAGAGCAAATCCATCGCTCCAATTCATAACTGAATCTATGTAATCTAATCAAATGCTCCACCAGCACATTGTAAAATGTGGTCAATGTTGTAATCTTTTGAACAAGTGGTAGCCCAGGAGACCAGTGCTAAGCTAAGCGAGGTGGAATATCTGCAAAAAGCTCGTGCAGAGAAGTGAAAAGCGGTTTGATCAGCTGTCCATCGGTCAAGCGGGTAGTATGCTAGCATTCTACCCATGAAGGTCTGGGCTGGACCAGGAGTTAGGTCGACGGATTCTCACCGCTACTGGGACCCAGATAGAAACAGGTGTTTAGTGCTCCCTAGCCTTTCAGTTTACGCTTCTTTCGCTCTGTACTCGACGAAATTCATCATGTAATCAACCAAACCTTCCGCTACTTCATTGCAACATAAATGTATGTTATCAACTAATTTACATAACGGAATTAATCATCGCAACCGAATAATGGCTATCTGTCCAGGAGATTCTATGAAATAGAACCGGGAAGCGATGGAGCCAAGTACGTTAGATTCACTGATTGACACGAATGCAGATTGCTAAGAATTATGGAAATTATCAGAAAGAAAAAAGCGATTTACTGCCATAATGAACGATATAAGAACAGCCCCGCTAAAATTGATGCTTTCCTCGCAAGGGTTAAGTGAGACTCAGCGACTGTCAGATTTGTTGTAATGGAGGGCTTTTGCGGGACAGATTGTCGTGCATAACACTCTTTGTCTACTGCATATCGCTGTATTCATAACATTTCTCTTTTATACGTTTTAGCCTATATGTCAGAGTTGTTAGACGAATAAAGCCTTACATCTCCGGGCTCTCAGTATTCTCTCTCTCTCGAGCAATTACCGACCGTTGTCATCTCGTATTCAGTACATAACAATTTATTCGTCTAAACAATGGATCGGCCTTATCGACCGGAAAGCTTCAACGAGGATCCAAGTTGTCCCTCAGCCGCGAAAGTCTGGAATCATTGGCTTCGCACATTCACCTTGTTTATCGCCAGAGCGTCGAAATCAAGTGACGAAAAGCAGGAGCACCTCATTGGATGCGTTTCCCCCACCGTTTACGAGTATATTGCTGAGAGTGAAACGTTCCAATGCGCTATGACGATTCTAGAGAAGCATTACGTGAAACAGAAGAACGAGGTTTTTGCTCGACACATACTGTCTACCGGTAAACAGGAGGCCGGTCAGAGTCTTGATCAGTTTATGCAGAAGCTGAAATGTCGTATTCAGTACATAACTGTTCGCATTTGTACAAGTTGAATACCAGAGTTATCACAGTGCAACTCACTTGTCCGTCAAACTTTGTCCGTTCAGGTACATGCAATCGAAGGCGAAAATACAAACCGTAGCATCTTGGAATGCGGTGCGCTGTGAGGTGAAAACGAAATGCGTGAAGGTCCGTGAGGCAACTGAGGATTGAATGAACCGACTGTGAGTGGATTACCGAAGTGGATAGGTTGTTCATCTTAACCGGCCATGGTGTTCTACACTAATTCTGTACTGTTCCTATTTGTTCGGAACTATGGAGTGTATTGGACAAATAGCAAGTGGGGGGCCTAGCCTGAAGGGTAAATGATCTCACTGACTAGATAGTGGCAGCCCACGTCACTAACTTTTGGGCCGGGGTCAGATGTGGAATCCTTCAAGACAAAAACTCTGGATTGGGAGAAATAATCGTAAAATAACTCAGTATTGGAATCAAGTTGGAAACAAATAACTTTGGACACACGTACATAGTGCTGGTACTCTGTTTATTTCATGTAAATGGTTCGGTAACAAATTACTGTCCTGATTTTTCTAGTGAACCACGAAGTAAGATGTCAGAACACGACCAACACATCACATGTTAATATTTATTGAGCACTGACTCAACCGGTCAATACGAACAAGCATGAATTCAGAAAAAAATTGGACCGCATTTCTGAAAGTACCATATCTGTCATAAACGGGCGGTGGTGGCCCGGTGGTAACGTCACCAAATTATCACCCCGGGGACGTGT